AATAAGTTTTTGTTCAGTGCATATGGCTGCTGGGGTGTGTCATCTTGATATATGATGCCTTGTAACGTGTATGATACGCTTAAAACCTCGCTGGCAGTGGCCGAGAGGAGGGGGGGGGGGGGGGGGGGGCGGGGAGGCGGGTGCCGCCTCCACATGTTTATTTTTGTTGATAGCTGCGAAAGCTGAAATTTGGCAAGCCTGACCTTTGATTCAAGCTGAATTTTTATGACAGCAGCTGTATTTTCACCCTCGCCCATATTGGTGTTTTGCCAGCGTCTATCGTAAGGGGGGGGGGGGGAGGAGGATCCATTGGACCCCTTTGCCGTTCAGCCCTTGATCGAGCTAACGCTTCGCGGAAAAAGAGCGTGTTGCCCGTGACGAGAGGAGGCCGATGATACCCACTTTCAAGGTCCTAGGTCATTGGTTGACAGGTCAATATAACTCAAAAGTCGGGGAATCGGGACCTGTTAGAGCTTCGTAAAGTGAAGCTGTTATAGGGTTTTGCGGGGTGCTGATCACGAATTTCAAGTTAGTTTTGATCACAGATGATGTTTTCGTGCATCAGGTCACATGTTACGAGGGAACCAAAACTACTTCTTAAATGTTCAAACGGTTTCTAAATGCGAAATCAACTCCAAAATCTACCCCGAGAAACATGTAGAACTCGAAAGAGTGAACAAAGGTCATCAAAGATCAGTGACCTGACTGACCTTCACGTGACCTTGATATACCCACTAGAATCCATGGGATCAACATCCTTTCACATGTTTGATCGCTTAAAGCCACAAAAAGACAATAAAACGCGCTCTACGCGAAATACGCCAAAACGCGATTCCGGCCAAACATGGTTTCGGAAAACAAATCACAAGTCAAAGGTCTTTTGAGTCAGGGTCATATAAATTACAGCCAGGGTAGGCGTAATATTGATTAACTCGAGGATACTGAAAGTGTCGTCGCAATCAGCCGCTTTTTGCGCGAGTTATTTGCGAAAAACTGAGGGTAGGAGGGCTGTTCGACACCCTCCTACAGGTGCGAAGGTTAAGGTCAGGCCGTTGACCAATGACGTCAAAAGTGAACCTCTGTAAGGTCCCAAAATGTCGCGACGTCGCAGCGCCCTTCGTGCCAGGGGACTTTTCAACGGGGAATGAAGCTTACGAGTATATGATCTAGTACTATCTCACAGAGGCCTCACAACTTGTATGTAGCTATCTCGTATTTTTCTTAAGAGTGACCTGAAGTCAGGTCGGACACGCAACCTCACGATTATCAATCAGTTGGGAAATATGAAAGCTGTTATTTTGGCGCCAGGAGCCATCTAAAGCTGTCTCAAGCGCATTAATTCGCGATTTTATACAATCTTTGCAAGCCCCAGCATTCACTTTTCCATTCTTAAAGTTAGGCGACTTCATTTATCATTATAACGTCACTAAGGTCACAGGAGTTTTCACCAAAAAGTCCCGATCAAATTGAGCTAGCGAGTCGGGAAGCCACCAGTGGACTTGTGAGGACCTACCGAATCGAAGAAGCTACATATATGACTTCCTTGGGCCAGCTTCGTGGCCTGAGTGGCTCTGCCCTGACCATGACCTGATGTGAACATGCCTTAAATTGACCTCAACGAAAACAAAGCGTATACTATTCGACGCGCTTGAAGTTGAGCATGCAAAACTCGATGGTGCCATAATGTTGGCTCTGTAACTGCACTTAAGTGGTGAAGTTGTTTACCAAAAACCGATCCCGCGACTTTGAGCTGACCTCAGAGTTTATCGGTTGACCCGAGACATTCAACTCGGGTACCAGTTGCTGCATTTCATATGACGCACGCGCTCAGTTTTATCCGCAAGGCGCTAGCTCAATTAGGGGCAAAAAGACTGAGAGGGGTCGTAATCGCCCCCCCCCCCCTCGGCCGGGGTATATGCAGAAAACCCAAAATTCCGTTGAGGGTTAAGCACTGAAGTGATATTATGATGCGAGAAGGTATAGGTCAAAACAAGTATGCACACGAGCGGGTGTGAATAAAACTGTGTTCGAGGTATGCCTTTTTTATTATACATTCGATTTGCTTTAGTTATTGGTAAGAACAGATACAACCAAGAAGAGCGCCCCTGAAGAAAAGGTGGCGCACCGGACGGGTGCGATTTTAAGGTCTAAGGTCAGTCGGGGACCTCTAAGTTCGGATCAAGCGCTGCATGTTAGGGGTAAAAAATGGGGGCAAAAAAAGCATCCCGATTTTGGCAGCATCGTCATGCTTTGTCATGGCACTGATCCACTCCCTCGGCCGAAATATTATTACCCTTTTGTATGAGTTCTGGCATAATCCCGCACATTATGCTGCATGTTGTTTGCCATGAAAAAACAATGCATGTTCAATTGTTCAGCTACGTTCTACGCAGTACGCACTAGCCTAACCACCATCCCATCATCCATCACTAGCCACCATCCCGTTCTGTGCTCCCTTCACCCCACACGAATCAGCCGAGACACTAGTCAGTCGGGCTAGCGCTATCCTATCCTCCCTTCCTGACTGCACAGCGCTTAAACCCAGAGCCGAGACTTCCCGAGCGCGACCTCTGACCCCACGCGGTCCGAAGGGTCGGCCGATGCCTAAGGGCGCGCCGCGCGCCGGCCACCTGGATAGCCTCTGCCGAGTCTCCCTTTCATACACCGTTTACTACGCGCTCGATTCATTCATGATTCTGTGTTTCTGCGTTCCTCTCGTTAGATGGCTCTACTGATGTCATAGGCGATCCCAGGAAGATTGCGGCCAGAATACCCCAAACGGCAGAAAATGAGGTTTTTGGTGAATATCTCGGAAAGTATTTGGCATACAACGATGCAATTTCACATTCTCGTGGTAAATGTGCATACACATAATTCGGGTTGATACTTATGCATTTGAACATTATATAGGACCAGATATGTCCGAAAAAGCAAAACCAACAAGACTTTTACTGGAGAGCCGTACATGAAGGAGTTTCTGATCTTCCTATTCGAAACAAAAATGTATTGGTTGCTATTGTACGAGTAACTATGCGATAATGGAAGGCTTGTATGTATGCAGGGGAGAGTGGGGTAATCTGGCCGCTTTTTTAGAAAACGATGTAACTAAAAATCGACAACACATTTCTGCATTTTCTCAACGCTGCCAGGTGTGGCATACATTTTACTTTCCTGGACAGTAAACTTGAAATGATAGAGTAACTACTTATATTGAAATTGTGACGTATTACAAAGGTCTGCAAAGCGGCCAAATTGCCCCACTAGCAGGGTTATTTGGCCGGGGGTGTGGGGCAATTTGGCCGGTGTTAGTTTCAGGCCATGATTTTTGTTATAGGCGAGTCAGCTTCACATTCAGCAATGACGCATGTCCTACGACGCATTTGAAGCATTTTGGAGGCTGACTCAGCGGTCACAGGGATCGAAAATAGTCAAAATAGCGGCTTTAGATGCGATGACAGTTTTTTTACGAATAGCTTTTGAAGTAATCAAGCAAGGCCAAAACTAAAAGTACCATCGTAATTCTCTCGTTATTCCGCATCGAAACATGTATGTGTTGACCTCGAGAGGTCAAGGTCAAAGGTTGGCTTCAGGTCACGTTACCTCAGGTCGCTTGACCTGAAGGTTACGTGAGTTCAAGGTCATCATGTATATCATTCGATGCGCCTTGACGAGCTGAACACAATGAGACCATTTGCGCGGCTGTATTTTTTCTGTAAGTATTTATTAGCAAAAAAAGCGTTAGGTAACCTTTGATGACGTCACATGCCCTTACAGCTGTCCAGTAGGAAATATGGCATCAAGGTAGTCAAAGTTGGTTATGAATTATGTCCTTTATGGTATAATTGACCATGACAACTTGGCCGTCCCAGCATAGTGACTCTGAGCGCACCGACCAAGTTGCCCCGCTAGTCCCGGCCAAATAACCCCACATTGCCATTCTGAAAATTTTTGTCTATAAAGTCGTCATGGCTGTACAGAACTAGATGAAATTGCTCTGGGAACCGCTGAACACCCTCAAGAATGGCGCTATAATGTTGGAATTCGTTTACAGCCCAAATACTACATGTTATACAAATTTTTAAACGGAAGTAAAAGTTATCATTTTTTGACGAAATTCACGTTTTATTAAATTTGAATAAAACTAAGAGGGGGAAAGTTTTGACATTTGTTCTGGAGTATGTTCTGACGATGACAAATGAATAGAGACTAAAGTTATTTCATTCACTTTTATCAGCTTTCGTACAGGTGGGGGCGGCCAATTTACACCACCGGCCAAATTACCCCACTCTCCCCTATGTGTTTAAGGTCGAACTACGAATATCCCATAAGGTACCCTTATCCATGCAACCTACATCCCTTCGCCATTTACGTTCTATTGGAGTCTCACCTGAATTATCGGATGATCTTTTGTTCAAAGCATTGATAAATTCGGTGTAAGCAAGACGTGAAATGATAGTTTCTGTACCTAAAATAGCGATTTGGTAAGGCATGATCGGATAAGATACTTCTTTAATTGTGTTTTCCTCAGTTTCCAGCGCAATGCTTCTTATTAATGACTGGGTACAAAGGAAGGTCATTTTAATGTTAAACATATGATTTACTTCGTCACAGTTCAGCAATAAGCCTGTGCATGCCGACTGCGTTAGTGGTGACGGACGACGGTGAGTGGTGACGCTGTTGCCCACTGCAATGGCGAACAATGATCAGCCCATAACACGTCTATGTCTTATGTCTTTACAGCAAACATATGTGTAGCTCGATGTACGTTTTGCCAGTGAGCCATGGTGTCCGCACTGTCTTCGTCGTTTTGCAGTGTCAGGGGACAGCAGTTATGCAGCAGCGTCCATGTAGTTAGGAGCGGAAACTCTACAGATATGATGTCTTCCTGTTATGCTCTATCCAACTGTAATGTTAGTGACTACTCCCTATTAGGTTTTGTCCACTGATCGGTGTTTCAAGAACCTGAGTTCTGACACGTCCTTTCTGATTTCCCTTTGTAGCCGAGCCGGTGATTGAGAAGGCACTCGCCTCTGCGCCGGAAGATGCCGTCTTCGTGCATGTGTCCGTCGGGCCGCGAGACTTGTGAGTAGCGGGGAGGGAAGGGCGGCCTTGTTGAAGTGTGTTGTTTGATGGAGACATGATGGGTTGTAAATACGGGACAGCTGCTAATCATTACGTCTTGTATTGGAAATCGAGTTCCATCGCGCTCGAGATCGGCATTTCGGTATATGAGCGAAGAACGAGCTGTAAAGTTTCATGCCCTTTATGGTTCACCGATATTTAAATTACGCCGGCTCACTGACAAAACACTTGCATTTCACTAGTGCCAATCATTCAAGTCGCCCACAGCCCACTCCACCCCCTCTGACGAGTTCCCTCCTCCCCTCCGTCGTCCAGCTGGAAGGACCCCAACTGCGTTTTCCGTACCGACGAGCGCACCCGGCTCAAGTCGGTGCCGACGCTGATGAAGCTGGGTACCGCGGAACGGCTGGCAGAGGACCAGCTGATGAAGGCTGATCTCGTTGAGATGCTGCTCTCTGAGTGAGCGGGCTGGGGAAGATCTGGGGCCGACTGTACGGTCAGTGTCCTCAGGGACAGGTGGATGGTGACCCAAGGCCAGAGCGAGGACGGGACAGCTCGCAGGGTCGGAGCTGTGTGCGTGCTGTGTTCAGCTAGGTGGCTGCTGCCTAATAAGCTGATCGGCCTCGCCTGGTTCCCTTCCAATCGTCACCCTGCTCGTCCCAAAGATCGCTACGATACGCGATGGTGATTTGTTCCAAAGTTGGACACTTGATCCCCAGCTATGCTGGAACCCATCATGCCATATTGGCTCTGACAAAGATCAACAATTGAGTGCTGTAAGTGTGCACTTCAAGTGAATTTTAAGACGAATAGGCGTGGATATGCTTCGCTATTGAACTGTTACAACAATATGTGATAGTTATATTCCAAATACATGCCACTGAAATCATATTTCGTTTTTTCACTTCTATGAATATGACACTGGTGGAAAATGAAGCGAAAGATAAGTATATTTTCAACTCCGACACACGCACACGACATGCTCCACTCGGTCATTCGACTGTCACACCGTCGATCGAACGAGCCTCGGCAGGCGAGTTAACCTCTAGCGTTACACTGTGACTGTCCCTGTCAGCCCGTGGCAGTCGAGTGGGCTCGCCGGGACCGCTCGGCACCGGCACTCCGCAGGCACTACGTCATGTCACACCATCACGATATCACAGCAGGGGCGGACGCGCCGCCCCGCCGGCGGCCCCGGCACGACCGCCGCGCCGGCGCTCAGCCGCCACCCTCGCTGCTCAGCCACAGCCGCTCTGGCGGCGCGGGTCGCTATCGTCCCGGAGCCCGCTGTGTGACCTGCCGCTCCTCTGCTCTCCTCTCAGTCTCCGCGGACGGGCACCTCTCAGTTCTCCTCAGTTCGTCTCCCGATCTGCTGCTCACCCCCTGGCGGCCAGGCTGAGAACTGTGAGTGCCAGCAGCGCCGGTAGATGGCAGGCGGCGGCGGCGGCTGTGCTCTTGGGCTCCTCCGGCTCCGGCTCCGGCTCGGGCGTGGTGGGCGGCTCGGTGGGCGGTGGCTCTGTGCCGCGCTGTGCCGTGCTCAGTGCGTGGTTGATGGCGCGCATCAGCTTGTACTTGGTGCCGCAGTTGCCACGGAAGTCGTCAGTGTCGAGTGTCCACACCATGGCTCCTGCCAGCTCGTACCGCATCGCCAGCTCCACCTGGTGGTCATAGCGGGCGTCAGTGGAATGTGGCCGCAGGGCACGGACTGGGGGACGGGAAGGCCAAAGTACTTACTGTGGGGACTGTAGGTAGAGAAGAACATCGACTGCACACGCTTTTTCTGAAGTCAAACCCGACTTCAGAAAACCATGAAAACTAAATAGTCGGGGGACGGGCTGGTCGAATTTGGTTAGAGGTTGAGCTCTGTCTTCGATGGATGGGATGACGATGTTGTTTAGGATGTCAATGAGCCACTGTCACCGATAGGTGGGGCGACTGTGATTGGGTCGGGAATGGGGCCTCGGTTGGCAACAGTCTCTCAGCAGGATCTGTTTATGACGGAGCCTGAGCCGGTGATGGGCAGTTGGTAAATATTTAACACTTTGCCGTGCCATCAGCAGTGACGGAATACTTTTCAGGATGTTTTCAGTGATAGTGCGTCTGGCATGCACCGTACATGTAAATTTCAAGGGCTTCACATGGCATGCTAGGTGATCAAACACGGGTATCAAACCAGAGGGCAGTCCAATTTCCCCCATGATTGTGTTGGTTTGTTGGACATGCTCGATATCCCGAGAGATATAGCTATTAACGTACGGCAACCGATGAAAGTACAGTCTCTGCTTAGCATTTTCCTTCTCTGATTAGCGAGAGCACTCAGAACCTCAGAACATCTGAAATCCTGCTCTCCTCCGCGTCATACTCGTCGTTCGTACGCTTTCTCATCACACTGTCCACGCCAGTAAATAGTTCGTATCCCGCGACCGCCCCCCCCCCCTCTCCCCTGCACTGTCTCCCCTCCAATCCGTCCCCTCATCTCCCTCACCTTGTTTGTGATGGACTGTTCGTCGTCGAGGCTGACCCACATGTTCTTGTGGAACACGTAGGGCACCTTGGCCTCGTCATCCCATCGCGTGGTCCAGGCGATCGGCTCCGCCGCGCGCATCTCACACATCTCGTTATAGCCGAGGAAGCCGTCCTCGCGCGTGTAGGGGCCCTTGAAGGCCTTCTCGGCGGTCGGGTCGCCCACTTCGTGCCGGTCGACGTCGACCAGTTTGAAGGTGCGCCCGTAAAGAGGTACGCCAAGGACCAGCTTGGCAGGGTCGGCGCCAAGCTCCAGGTAGGTGTTCAGCGTGGCGTTCTGGGAAGACATGTGAGATGTCAGACAGATGGCGAAGATGGCTCGTCCTTTGTGAAGCTGGGCCCGATCTGCCAACGTTGCTATGCTCTCTGTCACGATCCACATATCGTTCGTGGTAAGCAACGGACAGCTTGGTAATTGGTTGGTCTCGGACCATTCGCTCTAAGCTCGCAATACCACCCAATCTTGTCTCTTCCACTCAAAGGTGATGCATTCCACTGAAACACCAGTGACGCTCTACACTGCTGCAGCTAAGGCGACCTCGCATGCGGGTTGCGAGTTTTTGGGTTTTCGAGTTTCTTCACAATCAAATAATACAAGCTGAGTGACCCACACTACCATCTAACAAGCAAGTCTGCATGTTTTTGGCTTGCGAGCCACCTTACATCGCATTCCAAAAGTTGATTTTGAGCCAACCTTCGATTTTCCTCGCTGCGAGGTCTCCGAGTTCTGCGAGGCTTGCGGGTTTTTCGTTGGAGTCGAATTTTGGTTCGTTGCGGTGGTACTGCGACTATATGTAATTTTCTGAAGGTGTACCGGCTTCACTGCATTCATGAAGTTAACATTAGGATACGGTCTAATTACTCTATGAATTAGTATTATGCCCGCAAACTCAAAACCCGCAAACTCGCAACCCGCATGCGAGGTCCAGTGTGGGGCGGCCTGACTCTATTCTACGCCATACCTCTGCCATTCGATCCCACCACTCCACGCTCCTCTAAAGCCCATCTCCATCCCGCCGTCAGCAAGCTATTCGCTGTCCACAGCTACCCTCCACCCTCCTCCCTGCAGCAGTCCCAGCACCCGTGACTTCGTAACCAATGACTCCGCGAACTCAAGGATTTCGCGGACACACGGTAACACCCATACTATCCGGCCGTCTCGCTGCCACTCACCACGCTGAGTTCCTCGCCGGTCAGCGGCGCGTTGTGGCCGGTCTCCTGGTCCCACTTGCCGTGGTAGTCGTACGACATGATGTGGATGTAGTTGAGCAGCTTGGACAGCTTCGGCACGTCGTATGACACGCTGATGATGGACTGAGGCGCTGCCACGGCAGCCGTCAGAAGCCAGCCGCGCGGCTCGTACGCCTCACGCAGCTCCTGAGGTCAGAAGTCAAAGGTCAGACGGGATCGGACAGAGATTCGACAGAAGTCAGACTAAGTTGCTATGAGATAACTTAGAGGCCCCTTACAGCGAGGAAAGACGGATCGTATGACTTGCATGCGCTAATTGTAGAATGGGAGATCCAGCCTCCCAAAGCTATTCTGACCTTATTTTAAGTTAGAAGCGAGCAAAATGACCTCACATTTCCGGGCGTCCGGGTGATCTGTTCTGAGCCTGCTTGTTCCTGGTCCTTCTATATCGGACGCTGGTCAACGTTGCCCGTTCACTGCCAGTAACCTACCTCGACGAGTTTGACGAAGTTCTGCTTGTCCTCGGGGATGCCCATCCGCCGGGCCGGGTACTCCCAGTCCAGATCCAGGCCGTCGAAGCCGTGCGTCCTGCGGCGGAAAAGTCACCTTTCAAGACCTTTAGTCACTATGCAATGTTTGATTAGTCGGGCTAGGTTTGGTTCGATAACCGACGGATAGCGCTAGTCCGTTCACTGGCTGTTCGAAGGATGTCGATGAACAGGATGCAAGACAGGACAGAGGACTGGTCGGGTGAACAGGAAGGTCGGCCGGGATGGCGCGAGAGGCGGACGGTGAACAGTTAAAGGTGATCAACAGCCAACCAGCCAGCCAGTTAGAACCACACCGCATTCGGCATTGTGAAGAGTTTGAGCACCGAATCCGGGGCGGGCAGTCAGCTGGGAATACGGAAAGTACGGAGACCGACGAGAGGCATGCTAAAAGACGCCACCATACGGATGTGGATGCGGATGGCGGAGCTCATAAAAGTCGTTTGAGTTTTGACGGACGTGAAGATCCGGTAATAGTAACCAGAACGGAAAACGGTGACGCGATTTAGTCCGGTTGAGCGCAGCACGCGATGGTGATAACGGATGCGGCGCACCGCGTGAAATGACGTCATAAGTGGCGTGCAATGACGTCAAAAGTGGCGTGGAATGACGTCACTCCAGTGGGCGCTCCGGTAGCCGTTCTGAGCGGGCCACCCTTGCAGCCTCAGCAGTTTGCTCGCCGTCCGATAGATAGCTCATCTATTGCGGCCTTGTTTCTGCCACAGTTGCACAACGAGCCTCTGACATCTCGCACGCGCCGGTGCTTCTTTAGGTCAGCGCCGAGACGGCTGACCTGTTGGCGCGGAAATCGGAACCGGTTGGCGCCGTCTGGGTGTGCGGACGGACAGGATTGCGCCGGGAGCACTGACCGCCGGCCGGCCGGGGAGTGTCCACACGTGCCGCCGAGCGGAGGACAGCGACTGCAGGTGGCCGCGGCCGCTACTGAGTGCCGGTACACCGTCCCAGGTCGGCTGCAGCCGCGGGAACGACGGCAGGATGAGTCAGGTCCGAGCGTATGACCCGAAACGGACACCGTAAGCAATGACTGGCTGCTGGGTATTTTCCACGCCAAACTTAGCGACCTCGTCCTATGATAATGAGTATGGAGTTTGAGGCCAAACCTTTCTCAAGCAGATGTCCAATACAGTGGCGGCGCTACACTGCTGAGGCGTAATTCGCACCTCCCTATTCCGCGGTATTTACTCCCGGCAGCTGCAAACACAATAGGTCGTACAAACTACAAAGCAATCACGGGTGCAGCGGCTGCTTACGTGAGGAAGTCGATGGTGCTGTTGATGAACTTTGCCCGCTTGACGGGGTCCTTGGCCATGTCTGAGTACTTCTTGGAGCCTTCGTTCCAGCCGCCGACAGCAATGGTGACCTTGAGTCGCGGGTTGAGACGCTTCAGCTCGACAAACTTACGGTAGTAACCTGCGAATGAGGACGGGGAGAGGGGTGAATAGAATAAACACTGGCTGATGGTGGAACACTGGGAGACGACATTACGACACTAACCAAATCAAACACCGGCATTGCCTGCATATACAATGATAGTTACACACATCACGCCATCCACCAGTCTTCATGCAATGGTGAACTTTCGGTATCAGATGTCCTTGAGTAACAATCAAAAGTAGGCAGTTGAAGTAGCGCAATGATTTTGTTGCAAAAATGCTGCTGGCAAGGAATAAACCGTACAAAAAGTCTGTCATAAACGCGAACCAAGCGTAAAAATGGGCTTGTGCTGCCAAATTGGGCGCTCCAATTTGGGATAATCCATGTAACTACTTATCGGAACTACCAGCATGCCAAGCGTGCTAGCTATGTGAGTGACGTAATAACAGGCTAGCCCAAATTGTCACGTGTTGTGCCTATGTGATATATTGACTTGCAAATGCACATGCATTAGCACACGTAGGTATTTGGTTTATTGCGCTATACGACACTCGGGAGAAAACCGTCTAACTGTTCGCCTATAAAAAAATATGAAAAATGTTTGGTTCGTGATATTTAGCGAAATAGCTTCATAGCTTTAGAAAATGAATACAATTTCAGCTAATGTGGTTTGAATTCATTCGTTTGCACTTTGCATCATGGACATTTATATTTCCCACTAACAGCGAGTTAATTTTTTGATAGCATTTTTATAGGGCGAATTTCGGTGCACTTTATCCCATTCTGGCTTCACCTTTATTGGTGATATCTATGTAGGTGTCCTCCTGTTAGCTACATTTTCGCTGTTCTCAGTGCTTATGTTATTTATCTCCAGACTCCACCTTGAGTTTGTTCTTAGCAAGATTGTCCCCTCACCTAGAGTTACCTGACAATTTGCAATGTCTGGTTCCTGTTACCAGCTCTGGTGTCCGTGTTTCACACCGTCCCTGCCAGTCGGCCGCCTGTGCCGGTTGGTACCGTCCCCCTCCCCCCCCCACTTGACTGAGTCGGCCGGCGGAGCGGGCCGCGGTGAAGGCCGCCCGCCGCCGCTCGACTGTTACTTCCGCCGCTACGTACCGCCGCCGCAGCCGTCTCAATAGCCGTCTGAATAGCGGGACAGTGGGGCCGTGAAAACGCACTTATTCCGGCTGTATTATAACGGTCACATGATGACCTGGGCGGCGGTAGGAGGCTGGCTGATTAGTTATATCCTATATTTTTTGGCAATAGTTATAGGCCACCCTTAGACGTATCCATTTCTTAGGGGACTGCTTTCTATTTTTTCTGATTTAGTTTGGCATAACTGCATACCTTTCGACCCATTTCACGCGTTTTCGTGCAGTTATTAAAACTGACGGATAATTTAGGTACCTACTACATCGCTAGCCTGAACGTATATTCCTGTTGAGTTCGTGAATCAGCTCATAATACCCCGTTAGGAACAAATGTTTGTACAACCCATGCGCCTGGCTCTGGTGCACTGCCAAACTAACTATTAAACAAGATACCCTACAGCCTGGTGTTTGGCAATAAACTGTGGACTTCTATGTTTACAGTCCATGTCTAAGTTCGACACTGTTGACCTGTCCCTGCTGATGATACATTTTGGAAATAATACAGAACGGTCGCTCCTTAGTCCTTACCCCACCCCCTTCCGTTCAAGTCAGAGATAAGCACCGGTATCATGTTGCAGCTTTGACTGACCGTGGCCTCCTCCGGCGTCCAAGTCGAGGTTGGGGTCGAGCGATCGGATCTTGTGGCTGGTCTCGTCCAGACCGGCGAACGCGTACACGACGTGTGTGCACAGCTGCGGGTCGATGTTGTCCACGGTGAATTTACCCTCCTCGGGCCGGTAGAAGGCCCACGAGCCGAAGTAGCACACCACCACCCGGTCGTGGGTCGTCACATCCTGGCCTGAAACACGGCGACAGGGACGGGTCAGAGCTGAGGTGAAGTGTGGGTAGTTAGGTATCACTGGCGAGGTGCGACTTTCACAGGCTGATCCTGGGTTGTTTACGTGCTACATCAGTACCAGCATAGTGGCATCACCAATTCACCACTGGCCACATTCATTACAAACCGCCAATTTTGTACGAGCCGTATATAAAAATGAGCTTTTATCAGCGTTAGTCACTGGAGACACCAAACTAGCGACGTGTGCTCAATGTGCTAATGCCATTACGATGCAACACTTGCACACACATGTTTTCATAGGCGCTACGGGCTCCGGAGACCTGTCCTCGTCCGTCGAGAGCCGTGCGAACGGCCCGCACGGCGGCGCCTGCCGGCCGTTCAGAGCCGGTCCGGCCACACCGTTAGGTGGTTGTCCTCGTGCTGGGCACACCCCGCCCCCTTCCCCCTTGCACCGACGTGGCCCATCGTCGCCGATCGACATGGGGAAAAGCCCGCGCCTTTGCATGCGCCGCCGCCGAATCGGGTGGCTATCTTTTCCCGGTGTCATCAGGCCCGACTAGGTTTGGCTCGGCGGCCGATGTGTGGGACAGCGTGAGGCTGGCACCGTGACACCGTCAGCGCAGTTTGACTCTGTCGCACCGCTCGTCCTGGGCAGGCCTCTGGTGGCGGTCGGCCGATCATCCGTGGCCTGCTGCAGCTCGTGCGTGATTTGAGGCCAAAGTCGAGGCCGCACAAAACTGAAGGGCTTCATGTATCGATGTTTTTGCTCAAGGACGATTCCTGGTGCCACCACATGCTAGCCTCGCCACAGCCAGTCGGCGCTGCAAGGAGCTGTGGTTTTGAGCCTTGGACAATTAGGACACCGAATGCTGGCTAATGGCATGTAAATAAGCTCATCACGAAAATGTTGTCCGCACTTTTAATCGCTATCAGTGCTTTACATTTCACGAGCAGTTAAAATGCAAATTTAATTGCATTGACAAGCTAAAATGACGACCTTTTATTTAATTTAACAAAATGAGGCGGTCTGACGATGTCGTAGGCCTTACGATCTGTCAGGAGATAAGTGTCGGGCATATTTTCAACCGCCCAGTGAACCCCGAACGCATTTTCAGCCGCTCAGTAAACCCTACCATGTGTCTGTGATCATGTCAGCGGCACGCACCGCTCCACGTGTGTGTATGGGGGAGGAGGGATGGCGCACACCGCACACATATATGCACCTGTCTGCTGAACAAGGAAAACTCAATTTGTCACGACGCTGTATCAGTTCGTTATATCGGCGACTGAGCGCGGCCCTGATTCACCTCCGGTGCTGCTGTTCTGTGCCCAATCGCAGTCACCGCCGGTCGTCCGAGTCGACCCCGCTTATTTCCTCATTCTAGCCAAGGTCGGCGGGACCGGCAGTTTTCCTGGTTTATGCGCATCCCCGCCTCAGTCTGGGCACGGTCGACTCAGTGACTTTACTTAGGGTTCGGTGTTATGTCGAATCATTTCGATATTACGTCTAATTATGACGACGGAATGGTCGGGGATTCGAGGTTGTTTTTGTGATGTCTAGTGCGGAGAAGATAAAGGAAATGAACGTTTTTGTGCGATTTTGATTCTTTTTTGTAACTCACCGAAACCTTGAGACGCACATGGATGGTGTGAATCTCTGCCCGGAAGGTCGTCCCGGAACTAAATGGATTTTATTGTACAAAGCGGCGTTGTCAGTATTTCCATTTATTGTTCTCCGAATTTTCAATGAACATTTCATTTGGGAAAGCCTTTATAGTATCACTGATAATATGCTGTCGACATGCCCTAGCTGATGGATGCTGTCACATAGCTATATGTATGTTTCCATTTGCACAGAGTGTCAAATAATGTCAACACTGCGTCACTGATCACATTTGATCGCCATTTCCTGCCGATTGAGACCACGGGCACCTTCTGTGCGGCCGCCTCACTCGTTATCGTTAATCAAGTTATACACATGACACGTTACGTTACCGTTCAATCGTCATCCGTGTGAAATCTGTGCCATTATTTCTGGCTCGGCGCTGGTGACACCGGTCTGGTCCAATCGGTCCGGTTTGGTCCGGTCCGTTCAACACGGTCCCACGGCTGCGCCAGCTGCCGCACCGCCGACCGTTTCGGCTGACCGGCGCGGTGCCGTCCACCGCCCCGGCGGCCGGTCCAAATTAGTGGCACGGCGCGCGGTGCCGTCCGCCGCCTGGTACGGTCCGACGCGAGCTGACCGGTGTGGTGGTCCGCGGTCCGGTCCGGTCCGAACACGGTCCGGTCCCTACACGGTCCCGTCCGGTCCCTACACGGTCCGGATCGTGGTCCATAGCGATGTCCGGTCCGGATGGCGGATGGTGTGCATGTGTGGTGTGTGGTATGAAGAGGTGAAGAGGTCTGGGTTTTTGAGCGAAGATGAAATAGGCGGCTGTCTGATGGTTGCTCTAGCTGCTGCCTGTATCTCTCACTCATTGCTCCGCTAGCGTAGAGTAGCTGCTGGGTAGCTTTAGATCTTGCCCTCTGTCATCCACCAGTCACCACATATTGCTGGAGTTCGCTCAACCTCCTCTGTACGGCTAGCTGAGGGAAGACCAGTCCAAGTACAGATGAATCAGCTGATCTGTCTGGTTATCCGCTGACTGTTGACTGCAGTGAGTGCTGAGGGAAGACCAGTCCAAGTACAGATGAATCAGCTGATCTGTCTGGTTATCCGCTGACTGTTGACTGCAGTGAGTGCTGAGGGAAGACCAGTCCAAGTACAGATGAATCAGCTGATCTGTCTGGTTATCCGCCGACTGTTGACTGCAGTGAGTCAGAGCCTCACCCTGAGAGCGGCGATCGGTGGAATCCCGGCTGGGAACGTCACTTGGACGGAGGAGCTGGGACTGTCACTGGGGTCAGACAGACTGATCGGACTGAGTTGACTGGCACTGGGGCCCAGACTAAGTTCGGACTGAGATCTTTGTTGGTCGCGAGGGAATTGCTTGAGATCGAGGAGGTCGAAGTAGAAACTAGAAGATGGGGATTTGCGAGAGGCAGGCCAGCAACTGAATGCGTCGGCTGGACGCCAGAGAGACCAGTGACGCTATCTCTATTCCCTGACGTCATTCCCTGTCTGCAGCACGGTACCAGTGACGTCACACCGTGTCTGTGATGACGTCACAGTCGGCTGTGGCGGGACCGGCGGGGCGGACGAAGGCCAGCCACTGTGCTGCCGCTGCCGTCAGGTGCCGGCCGGCCGGCCGAGCCGCGCCGCACATGAAAGTGGCCCAGTCTGTGACCTTGGCTGCGGGGCGGCACATACCGGCCGGCGGACGGAGGCGGAGGGACGCCCTGCAGCCGCCGCCGCCGGGAACGGCCGACACTTCGGAGGAACGGCGCTGATGCGAGCGTAGTTGGAAAAGGACACGCCGGCTCAGCGGAAATGACGCTGTGAAATCACTTGGTGATAACGTTTCCTTAGTTCCGTTGCAGGAGCGTGTTGCAGTAGGGGAAAGTGGGGTAAGACGGGCACCTTAACTTTGGAGCCATTTTTCGGCCGGTTAGAAACATCATAGAAACGGGAAACTGAGTGAAAACCTTTTACAGACATTTTACTTCCATTTGCCAGAAGATGAGACTTAGACCTGACTCAACAAATAAACTGCAGCTATTTTTGCAAAACCTTGCAAAAACCCATCTTACCCCACTCCATGGGGTAAGACGGTCACATGGGTAGGGCAAGACGGCCAGCTTCTTTCACCGACCAGCACAGCTCGCAGCAAATGCCCGAGATTAGCCGCATTGATACAGTCGCTCGTTGGTCTCAAGTGCTTCGGAAATGGCAGTATACGAGATTCGTGCAGAAGGCGTATACTCGTATATAGGCCCTAGTTCAGAAGCCATGTAGAGCCGTTTTTCACATTCATTATTCGAGAATAAACTGTGCCGAAGGAATATTGCTAACATGTCTGTGAGTATCGGAATCGAACATATTCTTATCAGAAATGCTTCTTTTTTCCTACAGCAACAAAAATATTTTTACCATTACAGACCCATCGGATTCATAGTTGCCCGTCTTACCCCAAACTCAATGTCAGAAGTTCAGCACGATTTTTCTCTGTGGACAATTTGATGCAGACAAAGCAAATCCGCGGTGAATGAACACTGGAGGCATATGAGTGTGCCACAAGTGATTGCCAGTTTTTAACTCTATAGTGCTGCACACAAAAGCTTGCACAATACATTATGAATGTTTTCAATGAAATGAGTGTTTTAAAGAAATCAAAATAAAAGATTATTGACCGAACACAAATTCACCAGACTTCAATGGCGGTGTGTAGTGGGAAAGGCTATTCTGGTCCTAATTTTTCTCGCTCGTAGCGCTATTGGTTTGGTCTGCAGAGGGGGTGCCCGTCTTACCTACCTTGACCGTCTTACCCCACTTTCCCCTACGTGGAATTACAGATAAAATCCCGCCTGACTTGCTTGTTATTCTGTGAAACGGATTAAATGCTTTCAAATGTCCAATTGAACTGCATCTGAGTCACGTCTTTTAAATTTATGACCTAATGAACCAGTAGAAAACACCGATTATTATTCAGTAATTAATTACGGACTTGTTATGATGTTCTTTAGCACAGGGTAACTTATCACTAACAATGGTAGAATCATTTTCCACAGAAACAATTGATGGATGGAAAATTACGTAGGCAAATAGCTATAGGAAGGTACTTATAAGATACGTTCATTACCTATAACTCCATTTGCTTGGTCATGGTTGTTACATAGTTAGGTACTTACCGTGCCAAATCTATCAAAACATCGTAGAGCGAAAGCTCATTGTAGACTTGTCCAACGACACACTCATATGTTGACGGGAAAGAGACTCACACGCCATAAACGTACCAAATAAATAAAACCCATAAACAATATCAAAACGCCATCCTCAAAACGGAGTAATAATTTAGTGGTGTCGATTCTCACCGAGTGGCGTCTGGCGCAGTGTCTTAACG